TGTATGTAGTGTGTGTGTGTGTGTTGTGTCTGTGTGTATATAGTGTGTGTGTGTGTGTGTGTGTGTGTGTGTGTGTGTGTGTGTGTGTGTTTATAACCATGCCCAGTTTTCAATTCATACAATTCAGGAGCCATTTTGCCTTACTGAAGGTATAGGCTATCTTGAATTTTTTTTGTCTAAGTTCTCTCTGTTTAGGTGGAAATAAGATGAAGAGGAAATGAGTAACTGTTTCTGTCTGTATAGCTTTAAAAGAGAAATTCAAATTTCTAGGTGAATTTTATCTGGAGTAAATATTCCCTTTATAAAACTTAAGTTGAGCTTGTAGGTGGCCTGCTAAAACTCACTGTTTCGTTTTATAACTGCATGCCTTGGCTCCATGCCCGACCTCCCAGGTTACAAACATTAACAGTAGACCCCACTCAAGGACATAACACCTCCCTCAAAAACAACCCTAGAAAACATTACTAATAAGTTACCCAGCAGTGTTCACATTGGACAGTAATAACCTGCCAGGTTAACAGAGGCTCAGTCTTTAAACCCATCCACTACTTATAAAGATATTTACTCTTTCCCAAGTTTCAAATGAGAAGAGATGTTACAGATCTTCTACTTGTTTGATTTTTATTTTCTATTCAATGTAGAGATTTTTAAAAGTTGGGCAAATTACTCACCTTTAATTCCAGCACTTAGGCAAGAGGATAGATATCTGACTTAAAGGCCAGCCCAGTTTCCATAAGGAGACCCTCAAGCAAAATGAAATGCAGAGTATCAACTAGCACCAAATTCTTGCTATATTTGAGAGAAGTATCTTTTTTGGCTGCTAATTATATACTAAATAATACATTAAGCCAACTAAAACTATCATACCGAATACAGGATGTCTAAGCCTAAGATTTCTGTAAAATTCATAATGACCATAATTTGGATGTACTATATAAAAAGGTGAGAGTTTGGGGGGAATTGCATGTCTTAATTAAGCAAGAATAAGACACAAGGAAAAGAAAGAGGCTGGGAAGAAAAGGTTAGGGAAAAGTGGACCCCAAACAGGAAGCTATGCTCAAGATCAAGTAGAAGTACCAGAGGCCAAGTGAGGGTCCACGCTGGAACAGATGGTTTATAGGAGGCGGTGATTTTCAAATTATATTTTGAAGAGTCCCCTCAGGGGCTGGTCAGCACGGGACTGAGGCAGCCAGTGACATCCTTGAGCACAGTGGTGCAGCCAGTCCATTGGAAACTAACCCCAGCACACAGGAGCAGGCTGGGACTGGCCAGAATGTCAGCTGGATAGCGTGAGATTGTTGTTGTTGTTGTTTTACTGTGTGTGTCTGTGTCACAGTCAGAGTGTGGAAGTGAGAGGGCAACTTGTTGAAGTCATTTCCCTCCTACCATTTGTGGTTCTGGGATTGAATTCAGGTCATCGTGCTTGATGACAAGTGCCTCTATCTATTAACCTATCTTTCTGGCTCTGAATATGAGATTGAAAATTAGACAGGAAAATAGGTGCATCCACTCTCACCAAGGAAAAGCCAACAGGCCCGGGAACAGATTGGACCATCTAAGCTGACAGACACATAGAGAGAGAAACCAAGACTACTGCACTGAGCTCCAGTCTGGTGACAATGGATTACCTGGCAGTGTGAAAGATAATGCCTTGATGGTGTGCAAGATCTAAAGAGAAATACCAAATGGGTTAAATGTGTGTATGTGACTATGTGAAATACAACCGTGGCTGGTAATTTACCGATGATGCCTGGTATGCGTAGTGAGGAGCAGCATGTGGCCACCCTGGGGATCGAGTTCTGTTTTACACTTGTGTAGTTGTTTCATTCAACTTGGTAGGAGCTTTGTTGTTAGACTGAAAGCCCTGGGCCCTGTGACACAGCTAAAAATCTCAGAACCAGAGACAAGAGTCAGTATGTCTGGTAGGCGACAATCACAGAGTTCTGTTGCTGGGTGAGGTAGAGATCCTCAGGGGTGTGGCTTCCAGTTGCTGAAGATAAAATCCCCAGCAGGAGAGAACTTGCCATTTCTCTTCTGACCTGGGGATGTAAAGCCACAAACCAAAACCTAAGGAAACCACCAGGAAAGCACCGGCTCAAAATAAATACATATAAAAGCTGTAAGCTCGATAAAAATAGAAATGTAAATATTTACTCAGTGAAAGAAAGATTTATCAACCGGCCTATAGCTCAATGACTGAGCGCTTGCAAAAGACCTCAGGTTCAACCCACAGTATCACAAGAGAAAAAGGAAAGGCAGGCCAGAGAGATTGAGCCATCTCTGCTCTTGCAGAAGACCTAAATTCTCAGCACCCTCGTCAAGTGGCTCACAACTTCTTAACTCCTGCTCCAGAGGACCCGATGCCTTGTGCCCTTTTCTGACTTGAGTGCGCACCTCCATTTATAGACACCCACACACATACATGCACATACTTAAATATAAAATAAGTCTCTAAAAAGAAAGAAGAGGTTGATATCTGTCTCGGCCAGACATAGTAGTACCCCTGTGTAATACCAGCCCTTGGGAGTTAGAGGAAGAGGCTCCAGATAGCAAGCTCAAGGCCTGCTTGGGCCACATAGCAAGACCTCCGTTTGTTGTTGGAGACAGGGTTACCCTAGCTGTAACTCCCTCTGTAGACCAGGCTAGCCTGGAACTGAGAGATCCACCTGCCTCTGACTCCTGAGTGCTGGGATTAAAAGCATGCACTGCAGCTGCTGCCACCACCAACCACACAGCTAAGATCTCCTCCATCTCAAGAAACAAAACAAAACAAAATTTTACAGTGGGCAGAATAACAGAACAGCATACTGAGCAAGGTTAACATACTGATGATTTCTGTAGATAATATGTGCCCTTGATAAAATATGGTAACGATGGTACCTGGCCTCCGTGGTCTCCTCCACAAAACCCATATTTTTGGCTAGTCATGAGAAGAACATCAAATTTGAACAGAGAAATACACTTGACCAATACTCAAAACTGTCATAGTGACCTTAGCATCGAGGAAAGTATGAAATGTACAGGCCAAAGAGAGCTATGAAGACATGCAGTACTCTGTGTTATACTGGGTTGGGAGTCTGGAGCAGAGGACATATGCTAGGTGAGGACAAAGGAAGCCTGGGCCAAGGTGACAGTGTGTGTTCCCAATGTAAGATAATGAGAGCTGTTCATGGGATAAATGGAAATCGTTTGTGTACTTTCTAACTTTTAAAAGTTTGGGAGTTTTTTGGGGTTTTGTTTGTTTGGTTGTTTTTTGCAAAAAGCAAAGTTTTCATTGCCATGAAGCTACTACCTAAAGTATTAACATTGTCTTTTTTTTTTTTTAACGGATATGTTTTACTTTGCTTCTCAGGGTAGACTTGCTTTATGTGTGACTTTGTAGACATATGAATTCACCATCATCACAAGTTTCCTGAGTTAAGTCTAGAGCTGTTAGAAGCATTCCCTGTGTTGAATTAATCAATTTTTTTCCTTCCAGACTGGTGTTTGGAATGCTCTACCCGGCATACTATTCATACAAAGCTGTGAAGACGAAAAATGTCAAGGAATATGTAAGTAAAGTTTCGGTGCTTCTCATTTGACATGTCAACAGTATACAAACCTTGGGTAACTGCTACTGTTATTACTGAGTTAGACAGATGTTCTAAAAGGTTAGACGGATGGTCAAAAGGCGATTCGAGTTTAGTCATGAACATAATCATCTTTACAAGCTAACCTTGAAAACACCTGACAATAGCACTTCAAGTAGCCTTCTCTGACACTGGGACTGGAAGGAGTGCAGTTCCCAAGAGGAGTGATGGGCTGGCTGCTCCTGACGGTCTGAGTCACAGTGGACTGAGGTCTGGGTACCTGCTTGTTTGTCCAGCTTTTGAGGACAGGTTGTAGTTTTCTCGTCTTGTGTGACTTTACAGAATGCACAAGCCTCTTCTTTCTGGGTCTCCTGTCACTTTTGACTAAACACATGCCTGCCCCATCCCTATTAACAATGGCAGACTTGAAGCAAACTTTATTTATGATGTTTTGGGGTGTGTGTGTGTGTGTGTGTGTGTGTGTGTGTGTGTTTTTTTGTGGGTGTGTGTGTGTGTGTGTGTGTGTGTGTGTGTGTGTGTGTGTGTGTGTGTGTGTGTGTGTGTGTGTGCCTGTGTATGTGTGCCTGTGTATGTGTGCCTGTGTATGTGTGCCTGTGTATGTGTGTTCACATGCATGGAGATACACCTTAGTGTACATACGTGTGGAGAACAGTGGTAGATGTAGGTAGGATGTATTCCCTTTTCATTCTTAGGGACAGGGTCTCTCTGGGAACTTGTAGCTAACTGGCTCAGTTAGGCTAGGGAGCCAAAGAGCCCAGGAATTCCATCCTAGTCTCCCCATCTGAGGGTTACAAGCATGTGCTACAGTGCCCAGCATTTTATATTGTTTGGGGACTCTAGACTCGGGTCCTCAGGTCCTCATACTTGCCAGCCAGCACTTCCTCATGAGCCCTGGTGTAGCTTTCTATTTTATTGGAGTACTTTGCCAGAGAATGGCAAATGTGTGCCTTGAGCAGTTAGTCAAAAGAAATAAGCAGACAGTGGTGAGATAACTCCCATCAATAACTGGGTCTGCTCTTTTTCTGAGTGACACTCAGGAGCCAGAATATCCATTTCAAAATGAGCAATCTGGTTGCATTTAGTACTTCCATAGTGCTGTGCAGACAACAGACACCATCTCCTCCAAGCACTCTCAATCTGAAGTGAAACCCAGGCTCATTAGGTTCCACTCCTCCCCCAGCCCTTCCTCCCTGGAGACATTCCCGTAACGGAATCCTGTAAGAAGTGACCTTTTGTGTTTGGCTTCTTTCGCCAGCCATAATGTGTTTTAGGTTCATCCATGTTTTCACATGTTTCAGTGTTTCATTCCTCTTGATGGCTGGAACAGTGCTCCATTGTATCGGTAAACCAAACAATGGGTTGTTTGTCTGCTCGTCCGCTGACAGACATCTGAATTGTTCTGCTTCTGTCTTTTGACTGTTATGAATAATGCTGGCACAAACACGCCTGGGTGAGCATCTGTTTCAGTGCCTGTTTGGGGCTCTTGGAGGTGTATAACTGTGGTTCTTTCTAAAGGACCTTAGTTGGTAAGCCTGTCATCCAACTCTTCCAGCGATCAAAAAGATCAGAAACCCAGCCTTCATTCTTGAGAGTCTGTCTTCAGGTATTTGAGGTTGCATAGAGCCACTACGGCAATTAGCCTATTGAACTTTTACAGTCGTTTTTCTCTTTCATATAAGGCAAGGTTTTGTAATGAAGGGTATGTGTGCATAGACCCACACACCCCAGTTATAATGGTGAAATACATTTATGAGAGGTAAAGAAGTTACTTGGGTGCTTTCTGGAGTTCTTAAATCCTTTTATGATACACATCTCTTGGATCTAGGATTGGGAAAGTAGTCTTAATACATGGAAGCATATTAAGTCATACTAATTGAAATTCATTTTATACATGGCTTGAAGGGACATATTTCAATATATACTGTAATAAATATTTCAAGTGCAGTGGTATAGTGCCGACGTATGTTAGTTTTTAAAACAACACTTGCTTTTCATTTACAGCATTTCTCCAGCTGCCTGTGGTGAAGAACCTGCCTGGTTATGTTGGTTTTGTGTTTTGTGGTGCTGGGGATGAAGAATTTTGTTTTGTTTCTCCTAGAAGTCATTTGCCATCACTTCTGTAAAAATAAAATGTAAATGAAGCACTCGTAAAGCAAAGAGGCAGAACCCCTCAGAGACACGGGAAATACACCACCAGTGTTCTTACTTTTTTCCACAGACACGAAATACTATCAACTTGGTGCTTTTCGTGAAATGCTGTCAACTTAGGGCTTTTGCCAAATATAACAGACCACAGCCTTGCACAGTCCCCTAGACAACACTGCTGTACTATGAGATTCTTCACTTGGAATTCACGTTCCAATGGTAAAAAAAAAATATAAGTGACCAATAATCTATAAAATGCCATGAAAATATGAGTCCTGGAGTATACTGCTGACCAGAGTTTAATAAATGCAAAACTCCATTTGCAGTGTCTATTTCTTGGGATCTTTTTCTTACTCTAGTAACTGGAGTTCAAGAACTAGGTGGAATGTCTTCCAGCTGGGGACATATGTCACCTCTAAAGCATTCCAGGGCCGAGAGCAGAAGTATATGGCTGCAGTTCTAGCACTTGAGAGGATGAGGCAGGAGAATCACTGAGGATTTGAGGTTATCCTGGACCACAGAATGAAGAGACCCTGTCCCAAATAGAAAATAGATAGGTAGGGAGACAAATAGATGCTCTGTCCCAGAGAGATTGACAAGTAGGCAGGTAGATAGATAGACAGACAGACGCAGGCAGGCAGGCAGATATGCAAGCAAGCTAAATGAGCAGCAATAAGAAAATAAAAGTATTAAGTATAAATAAATTACCTATATATGTCCATGAATGCTGAAAAAAAGAAAAACAGTTATTAAGAGGTAGGTCTAGTTATTTTTCTTAAAAAAAAGATTAGTCTACTTTCACTATACATCAGTTTTGCTTTCTTTTGTTTTTTTTTTTTTTTTTTGCTACTTCTTTTTTTCTTTTTTAGTCATAGTCTCAAGTAGCCTAGGCTGGCCACCAACTCACTATGTAGCTAGCTGAGGCTGGCCCTGAAGCTGATCCTCCTGACTTTACATTCCAAGTGCTGGGACCAAAGGCATGTGCCACCACACCCAGCGAGACTTGAAGACATAAATTGATGTGTTTTATTCCCTTACACTCAGGTTTTTATTACTGAATTATTTGAAAATGTAAGACAATTAATGATAACATGCTTCTGAGATTTTAATTCTCCCTCATGTGCTAAAAATAACCTGCATAAGAGAATCCATTAACATTCTTATTCAAATTGAAGAACTAAAACATATACACTATAGTGTGTTTAAATATGTGCTTAGTGTGTTTCCTTAAAAGTTTTTGTTTTGGTGTTTTTTAGCAGGTTAGTACCACTGTCAAGGCCTTGCTCATTCTAGGCAAGAAATCTACACCCCTAACCCCTAACCCCTAACCCTTACACAGTCGTTTCCTTTTTTTTTTTTTTTTTTTGTTTGTTTTTCGAGACAGGTTTTAGCTTTGGAGCCGATCCTGGCACTCACTCTGTAGACCAGGCTGGCCTTGAACTCACAGAAATCCGCCTGACTCTGCCTCCCGAGTGCTGGGACTAAAGGTGTGTGCCACCAACGCCCAGCTACACAGTTATTTCTAAAGGTTAATTCGTTACTAACAGTTTTTCGTTATTTGCTTGTAATTTTTGTCTGTTTTAGGTTTTGAGACAGGGTTTCTCTATGTAGCTCTGGCTGTCCTGGAACTCGATTGGTAGACCAGGCTAGCCTCAAGCTCAGAGATCTGCCTGCCTCTGCACCCCTGGGTGCTTTTGGATTGTGCCACCACTGTCAAGCTATTTTCTTATAGTTTTGCTGTGATACTAGAACAACAATAATAACAAACGGTTTTTCTAACCATCTTTTTTGGGAAGTCCACAGTAATGAATAATTTAAGACAATCTAGGGAAATAGAGACGTGTTGGGTCTGGTTTGATTATTGCTTTGTAATTAACTCTGCTTTGAAAATACAATGAGTGCTAAAATCAAAACTGAACAGGCACTGAACCAGGAGGGAATATAAGAAGATTGAAAACCTCCCAGTCACCCACTTATCTTACAGCCAGACTTCGAGAAAGCGTGTGTGGGTGTGTGTGTGTGTGTGTGTGTGTGTGTGTGTGTGTGTGTGTGTGTGTGTGTGTGTGTTCTTGGAACAATGCATGTACAGTTAATTATTTCCCACAAATTTCAGAATACCTTTGCCTATTACCATGCCTAGTTGCTGTTCTTCCCAGTTACCACACAATTCCAGATGTAAAGCCACAAACTATTTATTTTCAAACACCCCTAGAGTTCAGAAATATAGAATGTGTCCACCTGGCTATGTTCCCTCAGGAGACTAGTCTGATGGAAGAGCTACATCATTCAGAGTTGGAAGCTGCCCACATTCCTTGGCTTCAGGCTCAATCCCTGTGTCTCTCCAGCCAGCAGCTCAGGACTGAGACCTTTGGATGCTGCCAGCACTGGGCTTTTGGCCTTCTGCCTCCGTCTTCCTATTGTAAGGTCCTTTGTGAGTGACTGGGCCCACCCCTCAAGGTTGTCTTAGTTCCATCTGCCTCCTTGTTTTCTCTTTATCATATAACCTAACATACTTACTTTCTGGGAATTAAAACATGAACCTATTCCCGGGAGAATAAGCAGGGTTCTGCCAACCCCAGTAATACCCCCACTCATCCTTAGTATCAGCTCACTTGTGAGGGCCCATGTAAGGTAGCATTGGTACCACACTAAAACACTTAGGTTGCTAATGTTCTGTTCATTCTGTTCCACAATGTTCCCTTTATTTTGCTGTTGTTATTGTTGTTGTTGTTGTTTTTGAGATGGTCTCTCTGTGTAGCTCTGGCTTCCTGGAACTTTCTGTGTACACCCAGCTGGCCTCAAACTCATAGAGATCC